TAGAATGACAGTGGTGGTGGGCGAGTGTACAAAATAGCTGAACAACAATGAGTTGAGAGATTGGTGGTGGCTCGGAAGAGGTGCATACTACACGCTCTCTTAAGATAATTTAAATCTTGGTATTCAAAAAAGTGTTCCCAAGACCATCAATCGCCTTGTTAAATGGGTTCGGTTCGAAGCATTGATCTGCCTTCAGCGTGTACAAAGTTATTAAACTAAAAGAAGGTAATCAGAGCTTGTATGAAGTCGATGAGATGCAAAACTTACAAACAACTGACTTATGAATAACTTCTTAAGCAACTCTTTTGTTGTGATGACAAATGGACAATAGGTAAGCCAGCGATCACCCGAAAAAAATGGGGGAAACTATACAACGAAATAATATTTGCTTTAATAACTAAAATGACCTATTTAAAGTCTCCATTTTGCTCGGATTGTCAATTGAGAAACACTTTTACCGGACACAATCAAAAGTATATTAAATTTACTCACATCGGATTTTTGAGTACCTGAACTGCGAGTGCATCACATTTTGGCGGACCCTTAATCATTGATCACAGGAAGGAGCATAACACCATTGATTAAAATAATAATTTTAGATCAAAAAGATAAGTTAATTTGATTGCTTTAAAGCGAATGGTGTAATCCGCCAAGCAATTGGATGCCACTAACAGGGGGCAATAAACCTGAAATGCTGCCTTTTGGTCTGTATTTCATTAACCTCATTCAAAAAGCTCCATTGGAGCAAAGTCATTAAAGTTATCCCCAAATGCTCTATTGCACAAATCTTCTAGGGTATCACTTCACCCTCAGAAAGTGATGCTTGCTGACGCACTTATTCTCTACGGCTGGTTCATTTGGTAAAGGTCAAACTGTTACAGCTAGTATTTGTACACTCTGTAACTCTCAATCAATGATGTGTAGGATCAAATTTCTTCCCAGGCCAATTAGTCTGAAGAAGGTTTCATTGTTGAACGGAAATTTAAGACCTCTTATTACACTTCACAATGGGGGAGAGGGAGGCAGACGATACTGGCACAGACACTTTTGTTTGTATCCAAAAAAGGAAGTGGAATTATTAAACAAATTCAGTAGGTTCGCCAAAGTCGCCACCAGTGAAGCACCTGTGTTATAAGATTAGACTCTATTCCATCGGCGGGTAAGTTAAAAAGTCCCTTTAATTGTTTGTAAAACCCAAAATATTCTTTCCTTTTGTCAAAGTTGTAAAATTCACATCGTGGCGACAACAACACAGGACCATAGCCCCTTATTTAAAGTTAGTGGGAGATCAGACAACACTAGTTAGACTAAAAGCTTATAATGAGATTGCTAGTCAAGAAAGGCAGAATTTTATGTCAAAAAAAGTGTTCTAGTTTTGTTTACGTTTACCATCTCCACCACAGCACAAATGTCAACTTGTAGTAGGGGTGAGGACAGATTAGCTAATTATTCATATCACTCTTTGCATGTCGCGAAGGCCTGTCAGGCAGGTTGTCTGGTAAACCTCGTGTCAAAACCACCGCTGTCACTGACACTGTCACTGTCACTAATGTCACAGTTACCAGCAGGAAAGCCGTCTAAGACGACATCGGTCCTTCAGAAGACGACCCGTTGACCACTTGACTACACAGGTCTCCTGTCAGAAAAGTTGTTTTACCCCTCAAAAACTAGTTATCAGTATTTATATTTTTTGTTAAAGATAAACATATTTATTATGTAGTGATCGATTACTACACCTTTGGCCGAATAGAAGTGGAAATGCCATGCCCCTGATTGTTAGACTGGAAGGTAAATATGTATTTTATCTGTTTTACTTTCGGCGTTTACATCTAAATTCGGAGTTTTTGTTCCATTTACATTTTTATATCAAATAAATTAAGTTATTTCATGCCTTAGCTAAGTGGAAAAACGTGGAAACTGATGCACCTGTTCCCTTAGCTCTCATTGGTCCTGCGTTATGCCTAAGAAGTGTGTTGTCCAATCATCAAACTGGAAGTATTTTTGACAATAAAACGATTAATTCCGCATTTACAGACTATAAACACCTTAAAATATGTGTATTTTAAATTTGTTTTTCATTCGGTCACCCCAAAAAAAAAACAAATATGTCAGTGCTGAAGTGTCTTCTAGACTAACGTTAATTTCATACGTATTTTTTTGTCACGCTTATCCCTCATTGCCTTGTTTTATTGTCAACCAGGACTTTTCTCCCCACCCTTTCCTACTTTTGACAATGTGACTCACATTTAGCTGAAAATCTCTAACTGTCTGTTAACTAGAAATTTTTTCTATATTTGTAACGCAATTTTGCTGAGTATAACGCGTTCGTTATCAAGGTACCAGGGATAAGTCTACCACTAACAGTCAAGGCGGTACCTTACTGTCCTAATATGGCATCAACACAGGCTTTATCAGACCTGTCAATTTAAAAGCCCCCTGGTGACGAATGAATGCCCTCATTTAATAAAATCTGTTTGCCACACCATTTGATACAGCCATTGATCATGTAATGGCACACAGCATAAGTCACCAGTTTGTGACGTTTGGGCGTGCCATATGTGATACTTGCAGCGAATGCGATAGTTGTCATTTTAAGACTCCTTGCGGATAAAAATGTGCACATGCATCTATCAAGTGTGTCATGGCAAGTGACATTAAGTGTGACAAGTGCAGGAGTGATTAGTCCCTAAGTGATGTGACATTTTGAAGTGTCTGATGCATGTGGACGCATAAAGTGTCAGAGTGAAAAGTCAGAATTAAATAAAATGTGAATTACCTCCACTCCATAATTATGTGGAGCAGATAATGAAGAGCCCTGGTTCATTCATAAAATACTTGTAAACTGTACATTTGATTGATGAAAGTGAATTTTCCATGGTTGAGATGCGCTAACGGACGTCCCAAGGGAGTACATGCTACTGAGGCGCTAAATGTTTCGTTAAAGCATCCCATAAAAGTAGGTTTCTGCAGTTGTACGCTCATCATGGTAAATAGACCAAATTACCTATGTAGCAGTTGGCAGGTAAACATTTAGCACTGTGCCCATTATTTCAGTTATAAATCAAAGGATGGGAATTTAAGGTCACACCCGAGTATCATTTGTGTGAGATGTACCTTGCAGATTTGGCTGGATCTACTCTTCACATTCTTTTGGCAAACTGCATTGAAGTGGTGATTTTGTCATTTTTAACTGAAGACTGGATGCTCTACTACAGACGATGGTTCAAGTTGGAAGGACTCTCAAGGAAAATAAACGTCGAGTTTACTTCCATAAGGCTTCCTTCATGCCTTCTTTCGCCGTTATTACTAATTCAATGACCGTAATTCAATACTGGCATTTCAATTTCGTGGGCTTTTCTTTTGGCGACTTTTCAAATTCTTGCATATTTAGACTTTTTACATTATTGGCCAAATTCAACACGGTTTCAATGACATTTCGGTGGCATTTCTTGTAGATTTTTAAGCATCTGCAAAAGAAATTCTCCTATTGCCCTTTGAGTTATACCCAAACATCGTCCCAATCACCCCCTTTTGAAGCGGGATGAACAATGGCGTCCCCATTGAAGTGTTCCAAATGCTTTTGGAAAAGTTGTTAAAGTCAACTTACAGAGGGCCTAGGAGACTCAAAAGTGTATAATTGAAGTGATTCACATGGTCAAATACCCCAATAAAACTGCTACTTTACGTTCAAACGTAGAACAGGCGACGACATTTAAGTAGTGCATAAGATAGATTAGGGAAAATTTTGCATACGTAAGTAGTATCGTGACCACGTTAGCATTCACACTTTGCCCCCAACAATTTCATCGCACAAAGCGCACATTTGAAGTGGGCATGAAAGAGCCGTCAACAGGACGTGCGATTACCCCTAGCGTCACGCCCTTGCGCGCAGCCCCATTCCGCGCACTTGAACGCGTGCGTACGTGTACACGTGTGTCTGTGTGCATGCGTCGCACGCGTTTGTTTTTGCCATGGGAAATGACAGCGGCCTTCAATCAAATTCACCTTTGATCCCTCAGTACGCACCCACGCGCCATTATGGGATTGTGCATAGCTAGAGGAGAATTTTGAGTGGCGCCGATTTTATCCAAAATTTTTTTTGCCAAACCATCTCTTTATTTAAAAAAGCCATATGGAGGCGGAAAATTCCATCCTCAAGTAAAACTCCTAACTGGTGAGGTTTCAAGTACCGATCGATTTGTACACCCCCGTTGTGTATTACTCACATGATGACGATGGAGAATCGATAAAGTATCGATCTGGTTACAGGGTAAACTAGATCAATAGAATCCACCTTACGTGTAGGGGGTGTTAAATATGTGATGCGAATGTGTTACAAAACCAGTAATTTGTTGATCTAGAAGGCGTCAAATCAACCGAGTTGTACGCAACTCAATGGAACTACAATTATGCGCAGCTGAAAAATTGTTTTTTTAAGTTTTTTTGTAAACTTAGCAACAACCGAAGTGAATAGAGTTTATTTAAGCTACAAAAACTCCACAAACTGTCAGTTTTGGAAATGTCAACAATTAAAGGTCAAACTCAGAAAATCGAGCCGTTGCAGATCATTAAAGTAAAAATTAGGCACAGTGTAAGCCAAACAAGTTGGTAGAAGCACCAATCTTGGGCATAATAAGAGGCGTTAAGTAAGCAACGAAGAGGCAAGCGGATAGACCTCAACATCGACAACTTCTGCGTCCATTCCTCTCTTTTCAATTCCCAGAAAAAGGTAGGAGCAGAGGCAAGTAAGGTGTAAAGTAGCTTTTGACGTATCATCTGTTTATATGTATATGTACATGGGATTTCGAATAGCAAGTTGTTTCTTTGTCCAAAAGTTCCCTCTTAGGCACACAATCACGCTTATTGGTATACCACTTATTTACAACACTTTAAAGGGAGATGAGAAGAGGAGGAAGGGAAGATGAAGAAGAAAACAGATAGGGACTAGAAATGATAGGAAAGAAAGAAGGAATCCCGACTACTTGAAAATGAAAATTTAATTACTGTGACTCTGCCTCCTTAGTAGCAACTGGCACACTCTCACCACCAGTCAAGGAATTTGAGGACACCATGGATGCTGTTGCCGTCGTCGTTGTGGTAGTGTTAGTCCCTGTCATCGAAGCTGTGGAGGCAACACCCACTGTCGCTGCCGCTAGAGCCGCTGCATTTCCCAACGACGCGAGGTGTCGAATCGCGCTCAAATAGGATTCCAAAGTTTCAGGATTCACAGCCACCTCTTGCGGTGGTGTCGGAGTGATGTTAAAGTTTTGTAGAAGACTTGTTAATGGTGGATACGCTGGTAGTTGTGGGGGAGGTGGAGGAGGCGGCGGTGGTGGCTGCGGTTGAGTCATTTCTTCTCCAATTTTGCCACTAGTTGTTGTACTAGATGCTCCCACAGCTAGAGAGACCATAGCCTGCGCGAAGAGGAACAAGGCTTTCTGCTCTGGAGTTAGTCCGGCCGTATCCACAGGTTGCGTTGGGGGTGGTGGCGGTGGTGGTGGTGGGGGCGGTGCCGCAGCAGCAATGTTGGTTGAAGGAAAGAAGATGGAAAAGAGGGGGTTTGAAGAGGCAGGAACGTTCCCAGTATTTGTTTCTGTTGGTCTTGCCAGAGACGCCAAAACATCTGTAGGTTTCAGACCTGCTGGCCTGCCAGTTTGCGTGACATTGAAATGTCGTAAAATTGCAGCTAGAGCAGCAGCCTCTGCGTGGGGTTTGGTATCCGTCGATTTCTGTTGCGTTGACTGTTGAGGTACTGAAGGTTGTGATGATGATGGTGGCTGTGTGGTCTGCTGGGCGGGTTGCTGTTGATGATGCGTTGGTGGGGGAGGTGGTGAGAAAAATCTACTCAAATCCGCAGCCCCAGGTGGAAATCCGGGGTAGGGAAACGGCAGCCCATGCTTATCTGGAACCTGTGAGCCAATAGTACTTGCCGATGTAGCACCTCCTGACGGCTTAGCCAATGCAGATTGTTGAAGCAGACATGGACACTTATTCTTGCTAATGTGGAGACGAACTTGACCTTTATTTGCAAAAGGCTTACCGCAAAAGTGACATTTTGCCTTCTTGGTGATGTTTGCTACAATGCTAGGACCTGCTGAAGTCATCGTTGGTGGGTTCATATGCACCGAAAGGGGTTGAGCTTTCGCTACAGCGCTGAACTCAAATCCTCCAGCTGGAAACACAGCAGAAGGCTGCTCGAACATCTTTGAAGAAGAAAGATTAGAGATTGATAGACTCGTTTCAGATCTCTTTGACTCTGTATCCGATTGCTTCGTCGCGTTGAGGAAAGTACTTAGGAGTCCCATCCAATTAGCTGTGTCGTTTTCACCGTTTGAAGGTAAAAGAAAGTCCAAATTGGGTGGTGAAGTCTGCGGTTGTTTGGAGGAATTGGCGGTAGGTGAAGGGGTTGACACCTTCGACATTAAGTTTTGCAGCGCTGAGAGCGCTGCGACAATACTGGTTTGTTGATGGACCGCCTCTGCCGTTGAAGGTGCAGTTTTAACCCCTCCGGAGCCTTCCACGTCATTGGATTGATTGGATGGTACAGGTGAAATTTCACTAGTCTGACTAAATGGTCTAATAGGGCTTTTTAAGCCCGTTCCACTTTGATGTGTGGTTTCTACGAGCTTTTGTAGAGAAGACAACGGATTTTCGGGGCCTCCAACTTCAGCAGAAAAGCTGGCCAAAAGCGGACGCTTCTCTGCCGACACTTCGGTGGATGCGTTGGCAGTCGGGACACTGGAAGTTGCCATAGAATTGGAGGATCCACTGGAAAAACGACGTTTTCTTTGTACGCACTTATCCGGGGTAGACCTACTTGTATCAGTCTCAGTTAATGGGGAGAGATTGCAGCGTCCAAATGCCGCCGGTTTTATGAGACCCTGCATCTGCTGCCTCTGCTGCCATGTTGGAGTTCTGGAGGCCACCGGACTTGAAGTGCTGGATTTTGGCAGGCTCTTCTCCACGAAGCTTTCAATTTGCCTAATCACACTGTCCGTACAGCCTCGGCGAGATGCCTCTTCTTCGGATGCTCGTGGACTGGTGTTTTCCCGACTGGAAGTTGGTGAGTTGAGATACTTTTGCTCTTGCTTCTCCCCCTCATTTCGTGGCGAGGATGCAGCACTTCGTTGAAGGTCCGATGGACAGGACAGAGCTTCTGGTGAGGCCGCTGGTTTTGGAGAAGGTTTCACTACGTGCATCTCATATGAACTTGCAGGTCTTTCGCATTTCTGCGGCTCCTCCAGGCGCGACGATTTGTTTCCTATGTGAGGTGCCTCTGGATGTCCATTCACTTTCTTCTCAATCGTAGATGACTCAATGTTTTTCGTAGGCTCGGAAGACATTGCAAGTCCATTTTGAGAAGGTACACTGCCTCGAATAGGTCTTTTTAGAGACATCGAAGAAGATGACGTTTTCAAACCAGTAGGATTCCACGAAGAGGTATTCATGGAGCTTCCAGATCGATTTCTCTCCGCTACGGATGAGAAGGTTTGACTAGCTAGCAAATTTCGCCCCGCATCGCTATAGACAATCTCCGAGTAATGACTTGTCTTCATCATATGCATTGTTAACTCGGGCAGACTACGGAAGGATTGATTACACCGCATGCACCGTAGAATTTCCCGCGTCTGCTCCGTCTCACTGTTGATCCACATATCCTGGCCTCGCACCAACTTCGGGATGTCGCGTTCCGGCTGACTGCTGCGGGGTTTGTGTCCTGTGTCACGCATGTGAAGGGTGAAGCCATAGAGACTCTCAAAATCATCTCCACAACTGCAAAGGAAAGCCGTTTCTCGACTGCGTGGTGGCGAAGTTATTTCGCTCTGCAACCGTTGACTTATTACAGAAGGTTTCAAAGATGGTTCCAGACCGCCAGACGGATTGGAAAAGTGTCCTTTTGTGTGGCTTGGAAGAGCGGGTCCATTCACACGCCTGGAAGGGAATCCAAGGCGATGAAAAGGTGGAGCGGGAGTTGCGACAGATTGTCGAAGTGACTCCGCTTCTTCAATCACTTGATGCTTCCTGGTGTGTTGGTAGAATGCACTGTACTTCTGATTTCCGCGCATGGAAATCCCCGACATAGAAGACTGGGGATGTTGAACATGTGAGAGCGGTTGTTGTGATTGTGACTGCGAGGGTGGTGGTGGCGGTGGGGGTGGTGGAGGAGGTTGTTGTCTACTTCCAGGCATCCACGACGGACCTGTGGATGTTGGAATGAATGAATGAGTAGTACGTGAAGCATTTCTTCCGAGACTTATCAATTGCCAGCCGAGTTGATGAAGGGCTTCCAGGGAACCTGCATCACTCCCCGCATCTTTGTCGGACTTCTTTCCGATTAGGGCATGAAGAGATGCTACTGTGGCGTCCAGGGATGAGGATGAGTTGGTAAGGGTCTTAAAAAACTCCGTCAGAGTTTTCAGCTGAGCTGAAACCTCCTCCAACCTCGGATGTTCTGAGATGGCTGTCTCCACTGATTTGAAAGACTTCTCTCCCGGTGAGGCGATCTTTTCCTCACTCTCTACTTTTAAAGGCTTCTCTGCCTCAACGGCCGATATTTCATTGATCGTGGAAACCTTTTCCTCCCTCTCCATATTCTCCTCTTCTATTTTTATTAGTTTGGGACATTCTAGGGAAACTAAGTTAGCAGAGGTGGTTGCAGTAATCCTATCCGAGGCGGATAGATCCAGGGGTCGCGTCTTGCTGGCAGTTGAAGAGAAAGTCATTCCGATAGTCATTGGTGATTCAGGTGGTGTCGTTTTTGTTGAGCTTTGCGTTTGAGCTTGTCCCGGTGGCGATGATGATGATGATGATGGCGGCCGCGGCGACGAATTAGTAGGCGCCGATGTTAGCGATGGATTTGTCGAGGACAACACGTTCATTGAACTCCAGCTTCGGCACGAAACAGTGGCATCGCTCTACACAAAAGAGGAAAGGAGAGATTGATATAGACATCCCTCGTGCAAATGCAAATCCAGACTACTTGTACCCAATCAGGAGTCAAGGGAATCGGTCCGCCTGCCCGCTCGCCTGTCTTAATCACATGTGTGCATTGGGAGTTGTCAAGGCGCCGACATGTCAAACGTGCACGCATACACACGAACAAGAGCTGTCGACCGGCTTTTTGTGCGCGCGCACTAGACTAAGACGACAATAACGAGACCAATACAGCGGTTGCCGCCACCGTCGCCGACACATGATTGATGCGAGTTGCGTGCCTGTCCTGCGTCTTTGTTGTCATTGTCACTGCCACCTCGCCTCTACTTTGTAGGACAAGTCCTAATTTCTCCTTTGCAGTCGCCCTAAATTGAACCGACTAAGCGCGAACTTCAACAACGTAGCTTCACTGTTTCAATTACGGGTGGCAAAGCGTTGACACGAACATGAGCACGGAAATTGAAACATCAAAACTCCGAGAAAGTGTCACTTTCTTTCCATAAAAGTCGTCAGCCAGAGACTATAAATCAGAGACGTGTGTGTTTGAGAAGTATCAGGACCGAGGGGAAGAGAGGGTGTCAACCAAGAAGAGACTTGGCGTGTGACAAGCCCAAGCGTTCCCACGATTAAAAAAGTAAAGTATTTAGGTGGTCACCACTGTCGTTCACCCACACACTCGTCCATCAGTCAGAAAAATCACATACACAGAGAGCTAACGTGACTCACAGAGGCGGTGTGGAAAAAAGACAAGCGTTTGTCTTGTCTAAGTCTGGTGTGTGCCACGCACCTGATTTACCACAATCGAATCACACAACTAGTACATGGATGGATGGGTGGGAGGACAGACGGATGGATGTTTGGTCGACTAGCCGACTAATCGTTAAAAAATGTTGGGAAGCACCAACCTGCCTTCATTTGACATTGACAGGAAGCGGGAATTAACTTTTTCATGAAAATTCAATCAATGGAAGTGACCTGAGCAGTCCTAGTGTTATGATTAGAAGACCAAGAAGACGTCTGGATTATGCAAATTACATTTTACGTGTCAAAGTATAGTGCCCATAATTGCCTAACCTACTGGTTATGACGTTGATCAGACCTTGGCACAAATTATGCATTTTTACACTTTTGAATAAAAGTTAATCCAAACTATTGTTAATTTTACTTTTTTGCGGGAGCGAATAAAAGGAAAATTTTGGATGAAACTCGCATCTCATCAGTCTGATCATGGAGCTCATGACTTTTAAAACGAGTGATGAATCAGCTCTAGAGTGTGAGTAAAGACAACTGATCTGAGTAGTCGATGAATCATAGTCGCGTGATATTACGCTAGCAGACTGACATTTTGAAACCTGAACAAAAAAATCAAGGTGCTAGGAAAATGATACACATTCGGATCATAGTCTTTTCTTAATCAATTCCAAAACCATCGCATTTAGGGATTCAAATATTTTAAGAATGATAACAATCGCGCCACTTTTCGCAATAGCTTGACGAAAGTGGTCAAGTTGGATATAAAAGACATGCATCATCTACACTTACGGATCTTGGAAACACAAATTCAGGGTACGGGAGATTTTTGAAAATATATATTTTTAATTAGCTTTCGTTGGAAGCACTCGGAAAGTTAAAAAACCATGAGTAACGAAACTAGAACGAAAAAATTCTAAAGCTCCTTGGGTTTTCTGGTTTTGTGATTTCCGAAAAAAAAAACAATTTTGCCTCAGACTATGGCTAATAATTTAGCCAAAGCATCCCCATTTTTGTGGAAAATTCCCTTCAGTGGCAAGGAAAACCATTCAAAAAGCAATAAGGTTACGACGTCTGATGGAAGACATGCAGTTCCTGCGACATTAAAAAGCTTTTCAGTGGACATAACATTGCAACTTGAATATCACCGATTTCCGAAACATTATGAGATTGTCAAAACTCACAAAGAATTTAAAACACTACTTTTGTGATGAAGAATACTTCAGTGGTCAATAGAACTGCTAAAAAATAAGACTTGGATATCACAAAATCACCACAATTTGAAATTTTGGACAAAAATATGGGTTGTTTTCCAAGGCATTAAAGACCTTTCGTTTTGCCTGAAATAAGGGAAATTAAATGGCCTGTTTTCAAAGATTAAAATTGCATTAAAGCACTTGGGTGGAATACAAAATTGAATCTCTTGCAGGACTAAGAAATCCTCAAAATTTCATGAATTTCACTAAATTTTACAAAAAAAGCAAAATAAATCGCAAGTGTGTAAAGCGAAGTTATGACAGCCAAAATTAGTTCAGTCATAAAATTGTTAAAAATGGTGATTCCAATACGCGTTTTGAGTAATCAGGTCAACACCAAACACCGGAGGACCACTGGAAGCTCCGGAAAACCTTGAAGTGTCAGAAGATCTATGGAATAATTCATCTGGAAATTCCCGTGGCCTTAGCAAAGTGGATATCGGCAACTACAAAGAATTGGTGAACTCATATAAAAACTTGAAACAAATGATGAAGCGTTGAGCTACCAGGAACCGTTCTACATTTCATAGGAGCTAAAATGTCAAAAAACGCTGTCACCGAAGCAGTGACGTTTCTCGACTAGATTCATCATTGAAACCTTTAAAAATCACAAAAATAGTAAGTTGAGGAATGCAAAATGCGTAAGTTTAATAAATATGAAGGGACGAATTACGAAATAGGCGATTACTCATAATGCATAAGGAAAGGAGGAACTAACTTTTTAGAATCCTCCATGCCACTCATCACACGTCAAAGACCATTTGTAATGACATACAATGACGTCATAATTACAAATCCTGGTTATTCTTAGCCAATAGTAACACCGTCAAAGATGCTCAAAGCAATATGAATTCGTTGAGATTCTCCGTTAATCAACATCTCATGATTGATCAAACAGTTTTGCATGAAAATGCATAAAAGGCATAAAGGGGACCACTAAACTATCAAAACGAAAGACTTAAAAAGCTTTTTTTGCAAACTTACACAGAATGAAGTGACGATGTATGTGACTCTGGATGCACTTTTTAATGCTTGAATAATTCCAAATCACGATGATTCGTCATTGAGTGTTGCAGTGTACCACCAAACTTTCAATGAAGACAAGTGATGAAATTGATAGGAGGGTGGGAAATTTATCTGTCGTGAAATTTGGAAGACGTTGGCGCAGGTCGTAACAACGCTACCACACCGGTCTAGAGTTTGGGTTCACTTATGTGCGTTACTTTTACATGCGAATGCACGAAGGGGTTAGTAAGCCAATCGAGTGCATGCGCGCCTCAAAACGGTTATGCACGCAGTGTGAATGTCAGATGATGGCCAATGTGGACGCCAGCAATGGTAGCACGTCCGCAGTCAAAGCTCGTCTATCCAATCCGTAGGTAAGGTAGGTGTCATTGGTGGTGACAAGGTCATTGTGCAGTGATAGGCCGAGACATATGAGGGTAGACACGCGCACTGATCCTGTTGAACCAATCAAACGGTGTGATTCATGACTGTCTAAAGCGATGTCAATCACTGGGTGCGCACGTGTGCGCAGGCGAGCAACGCTGGGGAAGAAATGAACCAACGAAAATCACGCGCGCGCAAAGGGGTAGGATAGCTTGATCTTCCCCCCTTTTAAGGATACGAAAAAAACCTCCTCCCCCTTTTTGAAATCGTCACGATCCCCCTAAGAATGCAATCCCATTGTAATAATCAAGTTATTTTATTTATAATTCATTCAGTTTCTCAGCTGCACTAAGAAAATTTGCGAATATCGTCTATTCTTGTTTTAGCTGTTTTTTAATGTACAAATCCAGCGAATGCTAAGTATTTTGCTATCAAATCAAATTTAGCATGATCTCATTGTTGATGACTAAGAAGTCGGTCTTATTCAAGTCCGTTACATTATCGGGTTCCCGAGGTCATGGAGTGTCCCCCACCAGCCACCGTGTTACCGAAGCACTGAAAATTTGTTCACATTTTTCACTCAACCAACTATTACTTTGTCTGCTTTTTAAATGCATTTTCTTTCTTTAAACTTGCGTATTGACATATTATACCTTTCTGCCTTTACGTAGACTTTAAAATGCGCGGATTAGAGTAGTGTAAAAAAGACTGTTGTCTGTAGGTTCATTTGCATGCTTTACGGTCTATCTTTGAAAGATCTTCACTGTTTTGATTTAAAGGAGAAGATTTGGTTCTTATTCTACTCTGCGTATCCACGAATTTGACACCATGCTAATCCACTTTCAACCCGTTTAATGCGCTTTAAAGTAAGCTTGAACGTCTGCAGGAAAATTCACACCCGCTGATTTTCCAGTCGCTGTAATGTAGCCTAGGTGATAATTCTGGCATCCCAAAAGCTACATTCGCTTCCGTGGAGGAAACTTGGATTTGCTGCTTTAAATGCACTTTTCCCTTCCTAACCAAACGAAAATATGTAGAAAAGGTAACTCTTTAATTAAACGGCCTCAGAATTTGCTTTGCGGTGGGTATTCCGTTGAACCTCAAATGAGTGATGCCTCCTTAAACAAAGAGGAGGAATTAAGCAAACGTAAAGCCACATCCAGATCCTGTGGTTTACATTTACTTTCCTAGTCAAACCCTTTTATAAATATGTATGCATAGTTAAGTGAATAGTCGCTCCAAGATTAAGTTATTTAGAAATTGAAAGGCTTTTTATTTATTTATTAATAATAACACATTTTTGAACAAAGCAACTAAATTCGCTCATTTTTGAGGCCCTTGCAGCCCCCTGGATATTAATTAATTCCACGGCGGGGATTATTACTGAACCCATAATACGTTTATTTTTGGCATCACGGAGCAGAATGGTCTAAAGATACGATATTTTGTATGACAAGGTGCACAACGTGAAATAAACCACCCAAACAACTGTTGTCCACACCAAAATAAAAGCATCAAAGGCAGATTTCGAGAGTGGGAGAGGAAGAAAACCGACCAGGTTTTGTACTTAACTGACCGCCTTAGTAAAACTATGGATAAATATTTTAACTAAGCATCAGTGATGCATCTTTCTCTGTATATCTATTGATCCGGTAAATGGTTGAATTGGTACCTTTATAGCCATGAATTTACTCCGTTTAAATCACCCATTTTCACAGCGTGTCGACTGCGTTAGAGCAGCGTTTGTAGGTTTATCATTTTTTATGCGGTGTTGCTAACGTTGCAATAGCCGCTACAATTTACCTTAAAAAACAAAAATGCTGTTTTCATGCATCTTTCTTCTTTTATCTTCCAATAAACCCCGTTTGCGTTTACTAGGACCCCAGTTCTGACGACTAAATTAGCCTAGTTTTGGCCAAAAATGCACAAATAAACAATTTAAATGTTACCCAGTTAGCTCTGAAATGAGACTGACTTTGCAGGATCCTATGAAAAGCGCATTTCAGATTACCGCTTTGATAGTATCTGTTATAACTTGTCATTTTATTGAAGCCAATAACATTAATAAATTAATTTGGTATTATTGTTTAGAACTTACATAAAACAGCTTTAAGGAGAAAACAATGACAATCTATCTTCATATCAAAAGCATCAACAGCCTTTAAAAGTGCAGACCTTTGCTGCAAATTTATATCTACAAAGTCTAATAGTAAAATTGAGGTTTTTTGATATGGAATTGTCTGGATTTTCAAATCCACTATTTATTTGACCACTCTACATTTGTTGGCAGTCGTACTGCGTCAACCAGGCATCAATCACCCTTCAAACAGTGCACATTGGACCCAAATTAAGGTGAGCATTAGTAAAGTAGTTCCGTCAATATTCTACAGCTTTCTGCTGATAGATTTTGCTTAAGTCAAATGGCTCAGGTGCCCAAGAATCAGGTTAGCTACTCCCGTTAAAAAAATTGCATTTCGATGTACTCATTAGGACAGTTAACACCGCAAATGACGGGAAGTTATTGTACGTTTAATTAATGGGAAAGCAATTACTAAATTTTGCATTTACAGCACCCAGAACAATCACTTTTTCCCCTCTCGACGTGAGTGCTAATGATTTGACGCAGGCTAGGAAAATTTCACAAACTACTGCGTCGTTAGCACCTACCACTTGTTTGCTTATCAGTAGGGTAATAGAGAATTATTGCGCCGATTTTTGATAAGTATTCAACTTAACGATGCTAAAAATTACAAATTTGAATTAATTTTAGGGAATAAGATTTAATTAATCGCAGCTATGGTTGATTAAAACCAACTGTTCTAGCGTTTTAATCACTGTAAGGGACTACAAAAAAGGCATCCCGTGTTAAAGGAAAAAAATACGATGCCTTGGTGACAGAAAATGTAAAAAGCCCGGTCAGGTTCCTCGGTTAAGACGGAGAGTTGGAATAAGGCGAAATTGGTGTGGGAAGAAAAGTTGTCAAGAGGAAAATTTGTCAATTGAGTAGCTGCTAGTAGTAAAACTGCCTTTACTGCAAATTCACACGGATCTATACCTGATGCCCGATTACTTGCTATCCGATTTCGCATTTAAAAAGAAAATGAGCGATTTGATATAAATCGATGGCAGTCATGGACATGGGGAGAATACCTAAAGTAACCTAGTTTTCTAAAACGGAAATTTATCCTGATTGAATAAATGGCTTACATCCAACCAAGTCAAAAGTGACACTGATAATTCTCGATCCTCTTGTGGTGGTTGCATATTGACTTATTGCTCTTGTGGTGAGGTAAATGGGTGGTAGAGAATGACATCTCAAGTCGAACTGATATGATGAGTAGTCACGCAAATCCACACTTCAAAGTGCTACCTTCAAGAGCGACAATCTACTTGCCACAAATGTTAAAGCTTCCCACACGAGTGAGTTTTCAATAGACAGTCATATATTATTGATCTACTCCTTGAACCTTCTCAATGCGGGTCCTTTAGGGACTCGCTTTAAGGGTAGTAGACACTAAGCATATTCTGCATGAGGTATGTAGTACTTAGTCCCCTTGACTAAGTGACCACTGAAGTCAACAAATGCGAATAAAGAACAGTCGAAGCCATCTTGTTCATATAAATTTAAATTGTTGATTACTTGGATGTCAATGATGCTATTAGCTGTAACCAAATTATATCACTTTTCTAGAAGTTCTTAAAGCTGTTTGAGCATCACTTATGTGATCCTCTAGATTCTTGTTTTAAGATTGCATACTTAAAATGAAGGACTTAATAACAGATTTGTCCAACTGGGCTGGATGGAAGAGCAACATAACAGTAAGTAAATATACACTGGAAATGATTTTCAGCAGTGTTAGAGGTGCTTTCCAAATAGAGAAAAAATTACCGCTTTGACGCATTGCGGCTTTTGTCACTTTTTGACATCTTTTGCGTACGATTCATGTCAAAGTCATTCACATATTTATGTTGTGTTTTTGTACTTTCAAAAGGGGTGATTTAAAATCATACACCACTTTGACACACCCACATCACCTTAAAGGTATAAAACACAGCCTTCTGTCGTTTGCTGAGTTCTGTGGGCAGAAGACCTGTGTGTGCATGTGAGTATGCCAGGGGCACAAAATTGACTTTGTTGACACATGTATTTGGCAGGGAATGAATTTCGATCTCATAGAGCAGTTTATGTTCAAATAAAAAGTCGGAAAGCTATCCTCATAATGACGGTTGCAGAACTTTGGGTACCCAGTTGTTTATAGACTCTATTTTACAACAAAAGGCTTTTCATACTTAACCCATTCATTCATTTAGATTCATTCCCAACTAGTCATCTGTCTGCGTTATTTATGGACCTTAAGAGGTTTCGAGTGTCCAAATTTTACTTATAATGCGAAATATTTCTATTTTTGCAGATGTTTAATGTATTCATCTCGCGCCCGTAAATGAGAAACCCTACTATCATGTTCCCGCACTTTTTAATCAAGGTCTGAGACTGTTCATCGTTAACACAATTCCTACTGATTCAAATATTCAACTATAAATGGAATTAAGGGCTATAAGATCGGAACACGAACCTTTGACAGAGAGGGTGAACCATTTCCAACCGGTAATTATATCAACCTGGTAATTATACACAAGAAAGAGGCTAGGAACAATGGATAGTCGAATTCCATTAAGGTCTTTTAGCAATTAATAAAAGGCTTGAAAAATCAATATAGGTGCCAAGCTTAAAAAGTAAAAAACAACAGCCACGGCCTTTATACTTACTTCTTTGATTTACTTTAATGGTGCTTAGAAACTAAAAGCGGAATTGTCCTTGGACTAGGGATACATTTCATTATTCTAATGTCAAGCAACCCGATGCGACAGGATTTGGCAATACCAGTTATCACAAAAGTAACAAAGACTAGCTGTTCCATATATGTGGCATCAAGCCCGGATAATAAATGCACCAAGATGTAAAAAAGCGTTTAATTCAAAACCCATTTCTCAGTACTTATTGATTAGCCAATCATTTCAAAACGTTGGACTCGGTACCACTTCCATGTATTTGCATATCAGGGTCTTGAAACGTTAACTATGGCGTGATTTTATGCATACATTCATATATTCTCTTCCTAGACACCACTAGCAATTGTGCACGTCATTTGAGTTGAGTTGTAAATGTTTTGGGAAGTGGAGTGACGAGGAGAGCGAGGCGAGGCATGGCAGAGTTCGAGATAAATGTGGCGGTCGGACGCTTTGATGTAGACGTTGAGTGTGAGTCAGAGGACGTCCCTGCCCCCACCCTGCACCTGCCCCCACCCCCTTTTTGTGTGCGTGCCGGTGTCTGCCACTCCACTCTCCTGGCAAACTATCGATTTAAACTCATCTCTGCCTCACCCTCCAGCTACGTGCCTCGTGCTACTGCCTGTCGGCCACGCAACATCAGTCATCACGATGGTGTTCTCACTCAAAAAGTAGTGGGATTGGCTTGACAACCATTCTCAGTCCTTGAAACGATCAATAATTGCCGGAAATGGGTTTGTTGAGAGACTAAGAAATGTTTTAGGTGTGAGGTAGTAACAAGTCAAGCTGGAACTTCCACTTTTACAACTAAAAAAGGGTGCTATCCGGGTGGGACTGCATATGGTAGCAAGCGGCAAATGTCTCTTGTTACTAGTTGACGGCAGTGAAACTTTTGCCCTCAAGGCGGTAAGACACTTAAATTGCATTAAATTTTGAGAACTGCAGTGCATTTCCCTCCAGCCATTCCCGAAAGCATTTAGTTTGTAAATAATCTTATTGTCAAAATTGCATATGAGGAGAATCTCTTTATTGCTAAACTTGCAGAAATATAACGGCTTTTGTCTCATTCTTCTTACTGGACATGACAAAATTGTTGGAAAATAGAGTCGTCAAGGCCTCATTTAGCTCTTCTCTTGTGAATCTGTGCACTTCGAGTCACCTGAAACAGATGTTTTGGAATGCGACACTTTGAGATATTTTCCAGACAGTGAAATGTAACTTTTTCGATTTTGCTGTGAGTTCTACAATAATGCCATAATTGGATGCCTTATCTACACTTGAAAGCCTTCACGTGTGGCCTTTTTATTAGTACAAAGAGGTGTAAGGCGGCTCATAGCATGGATCATGTGGTCGGAGCTCTAGGCAAGTAAATTGAAAGCTGAGTTGAAAAAAATTGAGAAAGTTTGCTTTATCTTTCTACTGTATATCTTACAATGCAGAGGAGTACATAGAATTTTTAAATAAGCACCCAACCCACAAAACCAGTATTTGATTGAAATGTTTATTTCGGGAGTTCAAAGCCACATAACCAAAGACCCTTCTGTTGTTTTGAACAGAAATGTGTCGGTAGGTTTCAAAGCAAACTAGTCCATAACTGTGCGTGGGTGTGAGCATTTGATCACGAAAATACAAGAGTGAGAAAATGAGTGACAGAAGGAAGGTAGGAATGGTGGAAGGGAGGAAGAGGAGTGACTGTCGTACTGAGAAGTTACGAGCAGGCGCGTCACTCCTGTTTTGTTTCAAAGTCGGCACTTTAAAAGTAAACTCATGCGCCGAGATTTGGACCCATACATAAACAACAGCGATAACATACGCTCCTGTCAGTCAGCTTGGCAGCTAACCATCTAACCCGCCACCACTTATCTTACCTTTCTCTCAACTGCACAATAATGGAAAGTAATCACCTTCTCCTATTAATGCTCACAAAAATCATTTTTTCTATTTATTTGAGAAAAATCTCAAATACATTTTTAAAAAAAGAGAGACCAGATTCGTTACATTCAAAAGCTAATGAATTAAAGTCTACAATAGCAATTTCTTCTCAGCTGAATTACCTGCAGTCAACTGCCAACGCGAGTGCATATTATGATCATTTTGACCCCCGACGTAAAGTAACTCGCGTAAGTAATTGTGATTTATTATTGGCGTTTCTAAGAATGAGAATACCGGAGAAGGCCTAAGCACTTTGATCTATTGCTAGTATTTAGGGTCAAATGCGGAACCGCATGATGCATTTTTATAGCCATTAAAAAATTTGCCAAAATTGGCTAAGTATATAGGCACAAGAACCGACTCTCAGCAAACTTGCGGCCACGAAGTGAGAGAGTGGACCGATATTCTCACCTGACAATAACTCTTTTGGAAATCACTCTCATGACAGTTAAAATTTATTTGAATTTATAGGTGCGTCTAATTAAACATTAAGTGCAAAATGTCCAATTTACACTTTATAAGAAGACGAGTCAAGCTAAATAGCTTTTTCTTCAGAGAAATTGGGAGCTAATGAGACTAGGAGACAGCACATCGGACGACAGGCGGTGAGATAAAAGCACTCGAACAAACCGACAGCGACGACAACAACGTCATGAGCTTGTCCGCATGATGAATGGCGTTCACCGTGGTGGTGGCGGTGACGGCGTTGACGGTATGAAAAATGACGCTTGCGTTTGAGTTACCGCGCTTGACTCACACCACTACGTGCTCGCAGCCGCCACATCCCTTCTTTGTATAGAGCTTTGATGATGCCTTCCTTCTACATCGACGAATTTGAAAGTTAAAGCTAGTTTTAAATGCTTAACATCTCTTCTTGCCCAACCCTCCCTTGTTAAAGCACTTTTCTCAGCATTAACTGATGCTTCAACTCGTTTATAATCTATGTAACATCAATAGGACTAAGAAGGTTTTATTTGATCCCTTATCTATATTTTTTTTGTTTTCTGCTCTGCCTTCTGGGATCTGAGAGCAGTTTAGAGGTTCATTGAAGTTCAGAAAAGTAAACCGTAACATTAGCAGAATTATCGGGTGTGACATAGCAGTCATTGAATCTGTGTGGCTTACATGACACCTTGTTCAAAATGCTACTGTAAATTTCCATCTGTCTGGCTTATTTTGAGTTATTTTAAAGCTTTAGCCTCAGCCGTAGTTCCACTTTTCACCATTTATGTCTAACAACCATAGCACATGATAAATGTTGAATGTTGAGGGACTTCATAGCCGCGCGAATGTAGTGATTTCCCAAATTACCAACTGGACTATTTTTTATCGAGTAACTGTAACATCTAAATAAATCAGTGGTTCAAATTGGCTGAAATTAGGTATTTCCATGGAGAAAAGGTAATTCAAATAAATGCACTGGTTATTTTAAAGTCTTTTCAAAGCTTTAGCACCAGCTACCGTGAGAGTAAATCATATAGCTCGATAAATTTCTGATATGGTCACTATAAAGATAGAGTTATGATTGTTTTTTGAAAGTAGATCATCTCAATGGGATTTAGACTCAGTTTAACCTACTTGTCATCTTGCCTCAGTCTGACCGCCTTTTGTACATAGACAAGTGACCTGACACACACGTGAGGCCATCTAACCTACCAGATGGACAGTCAGCCCATAACACTTCTGCTTGAGATAAGATTGTGCTGGTAGGAGGGTAATTTGTCACTACCTCAAGGGCCCACGACGTCTGTTCTCACGACGCCAACGATGGCGTGGACCACGACAGCGTGATCGGGTATCAATTAATAGGTGCTCCCTCCTCTCCCAGACGTGTTAGCAAAAGTGTAGGTGAATGAACACCTAACCACTTTCGATTAAACCTTTGTAAGCTTCGAAACTTCGATTCCTAACAAACCGTTCAACATTGTTATACTGATCAGTTTTTAGGTTGAAAGACGTGACTGATTTAGTGCAATAGGACCTTCAGTGATGTGCCTGATACATTTTCCAGGGGGCGGAGGGAAAAGTGTTGTGAACTGTAGGTTTTTTGGAACTTAATGAAATCCTCATTCGTTATTGGAGGTGAATCACATTTAGTAATTTACAAGGCCCTAAAGTTTTTTTTTATTATTAAAGTATAGATGGGCCCGAGATTAGCCGTATCATATCAAGCGATGGGAAA